CCCTAAGCCCTAAACCCCAAGCCTGGGGCCCTTAGAGCCTTCGAGGCTTCCGGGGGTCCTGAGCGACAAGGCTCAAGTCTCTGCGGCCGAGGATCCGGTCCCCCTTCCCCCCCCTAATATTAGGGGTTTAGGGTTTAGGGTTTAGGGTTTAGGGTTTAGGGTTTAGGGTTTAGAGTTTAGGGTTTAGGGTTCAGAGTTTAGGGTTTAAGGTTCGAGTTTAGGGTGTAGGGTTATTGCAATACTTCAATATTACAGCGTGTATATCTAAATTGCTGGATTGTGCTATGTTATACTATACTCACGTTAGACTATACTACAGGCCATATTTCCTGCGCCCCTCAATCTGGTCCAAGGTCCGATGAGCAACACTACCGTGACAGGCCTGGACCCTAAACCCTAAACCCCAAACCCTAAACCCTAAACCCTAAGTTTGGAACGGGAGGCAAGGTTGTTCGTGTCATTGTTCAAGTGTTCAAGTTTCATCAGTTCCATGCCTACTCCCTGCAGGACCCACCTTTCTCGGGCTGGAAGCTTTGATTTCAGAGGTCAGGTGCTGAACAGCTGGGTGTTTTCGGGATCCAGTTCCCCCAACATCCTAAAGCTGAAAGGTTACACCCTAAATGGGTGGTTCTCTAAATTAGGGTTGCGTTTAGGCTCCTTTTTACAAGGATGCCGTGCTATATGGGGGGACCTAAAAAGGGACCCGAATCTAGAGAACTACCCGAATCTTGCACTCGAAGACCCAAGCCCTCACCCACGGGATTGATTTCTCTATGAACTGCAGAGAAAGGTGGCAGTGCCTGCACAGCCATCAAGAGAAACACATTAAGACCTTGTAAAGCTCTTTCGAGATGTTCCCTAAACCCTAAATCCTAAACCCCAAGCCCTAAACGAACCCTACCTCCCACACCCGGAGCACTTGTGAAGCTCAGAAGTCGCGCAGGTGCACCCTGTTCTGGTCCGGACTGCCCATCCCTGGCAGTCTTGACGGCAACCTGGCTTTAATATTACTCCTCTTGGAGGTTCATGGGTAGTTATAAATGGGGTTATAAGTAGGATAACTATACTTATAACCCGTATTAGAGGACTAATAGCCCCACTTATAACTACCCATGGACCTCCAAGCTTGGGCTTGTTTCTTACACAGGTACTATCAGATACCCCAAATCTTGTTCTAACTCTGAAACCCCTAGGCGCCAAACCCTAAGTTCATGGCAGTTTACGGCACAGCCAAGGCCAACTTGGACACAGCCGGTGGGCTAGAGACATCATGGTCTCACGGCTGCACGGTTTCAGCCGTTTCTGAAACAATCTAAGGTTCCGTTACTGGGCTTTGGAGTACCATACGTTAATACTTTTTGGGGGACCTGTTCCTTAAAGGACCAATACAAAATAAAGGTCTATACTTTTTTGTCATTTTTTGTCCCTGGTTACTTCAAAGCCCAGGTTAACAGCTTCTCCGAAGAGTCCACATACCTGCATAGATTCGCTTAGGCCTGCAAGGGGTTCCTATACAGTCATTTTCAGGCCAAAGTCTATACTGCGTGAGCGCATGGACCCGTCTAAACCCTAAGCCCTAAACCCTAAGCCTTAAGCCCTAAACCCTTAAGCCTGAACCCCATAAACCCGACACCCTACAAACCCCGAACCCTGAACCCTAAATCCTAAAAACCCTAATCCCTACAAGCCCCAAACCCTGAACCCTCGATGCCGCATGCCGGCTAGCATTTGGAGCAGATCAAACCGACAGAAAACCCTTGCAGCCCAGGTACCCGTGAAGCAGATGGGGGTTTCCGAAAATAGGGGACCCTAATATAGTACCCTAAAGGTTTAGGACTTAGGGTTTAATTATTATTAGAACCCCAACAGAGGGTACTTATTTTCGGAAACCCCCAATGTGGGTAGTTCTCTAAATTGGGCTTCCCTTTTTAGGGTTTAGGGTTTAGGGTGTAGGAGGGGCCCCTTAGAGGAATCGAAAAGGCTTTCTAGAAGGGCTTGGAAGATCTGAAGATTTGCCATTCGGTAGTTTCCGAAAATAGGGGACCCGAATAAAGTACCCTAAATAGTCTTAGAAGTATCCTTATTATAAGGACGCCAAAAGAAGGTATTTATTTTCGGAAATCTGGGTAGTTCTCTAAATTGGGGGCACCTGTCTCAGGGGCCCCTGAAAGGAATCTATAATGCTTTCTATAAGAGTACTGTAAGGGTAGTTCCCTAAGAAGGGTCCCTTTTCAGTTCACCAGTACAGTATGGCACCCGTATAACAAGGACCCTAGAAAGGGACCCTAATTTAAGAGAACTACCCAAAAGCTGCGGCCAAAGGTCCCTGCAGCTATATAATGACTTCTTTGAGGCTTAAGTGATTAAAATTAAAACTACCACAGAATGTCACACAGGCTCTTGAGTCTTGGATGCCTATGGCAGTTCATTCCCCTAAACCATGAACCCTCAACTACTGCATAGGCTCTTGGATCCGTATGCCAAGTCATGGATGTCTTGCTTCGATGCTGTCAACTTTTCTATCTGAAGCTCAATGGGTTTGGGGTTTAGGTTTACCTTCGCCCCAAAGAACCTACCTTTCTAAAGACTTACCATAAAGAAACTATAAGAAGGAACCCCAAAAAGGTAGGTTATTCAGGTTCCAGGTAGGGTTTAGGGCTTACGGTTCATTCCAGTGAGCTGAAGCCCGAAACTCTTCCAAAACTCTACATCCAAAGCTCAAGTGCAATATTGAGGGTTTGAAACCCCACACCGCAACCCAAGATCAACTTGATGAATGTGTGTTCAAGATGTTGGGCTTGTTATTTATTCTGCCTTCCAAATTGGCATCCTTGACGCCCCTTGCCCCCCTCAGACCCGGCTATTAGGAAATGATGGCCAGTAGCAAAACAAACAGCAAAGCGAGTCCAGGGTTTGTATGTCGAAGCCGAAAACAGAAACCCTAAACCCAAAACCCCAAACCCCTAAACCCAAAAACCCTAAACCCGAAACCCGTAAACCCTAAACCCCTAAGCCCCTAAACCCTAAACCCCCCTAAACCCCTAAACCCCAAACCAAACCCCAAACCCTAAACCTTAAACCCTAAACCTAAAACCCAAAACCCGAAGGCCGAAGTTGCTCAGAGAAGAAGGTGTGGTTCGGGCATGGCCTCTGAGCCTTGAGGCTAAGAGTCAAGAGGGGACCCTGACTCATATAGGGGCCTTAATATGTAATTAGACTCGGGTATTGGGGCCCAATATGCTAGAGTTATAACAAGGAACGCCCAAAATAATATTGGTAATTGTTTGGCCCCTACATTAACTAGAAGTGTTTGATGTCATGATTTTAATGTGTATACAGGCTCCTGTACTACATGGACTCGAAGCACAAGTTGAAGGAAACTCCTCAGCCGTGTCGTGTCTTGGCAGCTTCTCGCGGAAATCACTGTGTTTAGGGGCTTAGCTATTGGATAGCAGCTGTAGGGTTAAGCGCGGATGATCAATGACTCACTAAGGTAAAAACAAGTACGACTCCGATAGCGAAACATGTGTCTAAGATAAAATCCTAATGCTGGTTTCTGCCAAGAATAGTATGAAGAAGGAAATTCTCAACAACTTTACCAAATTCGCCGAAACCCTACGCCCTGAATATACCCTGAAGGCAAGAAGCCCTCAGCCGCAATTGCCCTAAACCCGGCGTTCCAAAACTGTAAAACATAAAACCCGACACCCTAAACCCCTAAGCCCGAAATAGCCGTCCTGCCACATTTCACAGGACGAGTATCCATGGCCATCCTGCATCGAAGGTCGGCAGTCAGCCTTTTAGTCTTTTGGGGTGTTAGGGCTTAGGCCTTGTTGGGTTTTTGGGGTTCGTGTGTTACGGCTTAGGCTTTGTTGGGTTTAGGGTTCGGGTGTCAGACCATCAGGGCATGGGGTGAGGGCTTAGGCTTTTGAGCTTTTGGGCCCTCCCTTCTGAGTGCTTTGGAAAAAGCTCATTCCCGGACGGACGCTCTCATCCAGTGCAACTGCAACACTTCCCAAAACCCTAGCCGGTGCTGGAGTTCTTTATTATCCACCTAAACTTAAACCCTCGGGTTTGGGTCTGGGGCTTTAGAAACAACAGGTGGAGTTTCAATTTAATACGATGTAGAGGGTATGAGTCTTCATGCTATAACACAATGCACAAGAATTCCTAAATGCCACCCAGAATTCCATCTAGTTGAAGCCCAATACAAAACTAAACACAGTAACACCCGGGAAACATCCATAGAAAATTGCTCAACACCCATGAAACCGCTATACACACCTATACAACCCTTATCTACATCCAGCAGACTCTTAAACCCTAAACCCCTAAACCCTAAACCCTGAATCCTAAACATAAACCCTAAACCCTGAACCCTAAAACTCTGTAAATGCTCGGAAAACCCTAAACATAAACCCTAAACCCTAAACCCTAAGACTCTTTAAATGCTCGGAAAAGGGGGGGTGGCTTGGACTGGGCGCACCGGGCAGCAGTCGGCGGCGCGCGCGACCAGTCCGGACGCGTGGAGCAGGCCTGGCTCCGGGTTCTTCAAAATGGTCAGAGGTTTAGGGTTTAGGGCCCTGGCTCCCTAAATCCTAAACCCTAAACCCTAAAACCTAAGCCCTAAAACCCTAAACCCTAAATCCTAAACCCTAAGCCCTGAAACCTAAACCCTAAAACCCTAAACCCTAAATCCTAAACCCTAAATCCTAAACCCTAAACCTCTGACCATTTTAAGAACCCAGTTTAGGGTTTAGGGTTTAGAGTTTACAGCAGTTTCAGGCTCTTTTGTTCCACCCTCTGCTGCTGCAGTAAGGAAAGCCCCGGAGGGCGGGCGATGGGAGGCCTTAACAATACTCATACAGGCCCAAAGGTCAGGGTTTACAGTGATAGGGTTGAGGGTGAGGGTTGAGGGTTTAGGGTTTAGGTAAAGTTTAGGGTTATAGGGTTCAGGGCTGTCCTAATTACCTACATAATAGAAAGTAGGGTTAGTATGGTAGGAATTACTATTATGATTTGGGTAAGTATGCCCCATATGGCGCTTAGGACCCTGGAGGAGGGGTAGGGTTGACGGTCAGGGTTTGGGGTTCAGTCTTAGGCTTAGAAGGTCTAGGGTTCAGGGTTTACAGGGCTTTGGGTTTGGGGTGGATTTAGAACAGGATTTAGGGTTTAGGGCTTGCGGGGTTTGGGTTTGGGGTTGAACTTAAAACAAGACTTCGGGGTAGGTTTTTCGGGTGGATTTAGAGCAGGACTTGGGGTTTAGGGTTTCGATCCGCCGTTCCCGGTAGGCAGGATGCAGACTTGACCTCGATGTGCATTTCGAGAAAGGTGTTTTAGGTTGCCGTTCTGCTTGCCAACCTAAATCCGAAAACTCTAAAACCTTCAACCCTAAACCAACAATTCAGGCTAGTCCACCGGCCGGCGAGAAGCATGTAACTCTTGCCATCTGCGTGCAAACTTCATTTCGATTCTTGGCCCCTCCACTGGGTTCTTGTTAAGGAGTTAAATGTAAGTAACCATAATACGGAGGCCATGCTGTTTACTATAAAGCCCTACCATGGTGGCTAAACCCCAAACCCTACTATCTGTGCTGCGGTTGGTCGATGAGGACACTGTCAGGACCGTCATCGAAGCTCCAAGCCGCAAGCCCAAGGATCCCAACCCTTGAAAACATCTTTAAGTTCAGGAAACTACAGGTGGGGATTTCAGAGCTTCTACAAGGCTTCTATAAAGTATATAGACTTTCTATAAGGCTCCTATAACGGTAACTACCCACCTGAAAATGTCCTGGACTGTGGAACCCTCAACAGTTGATAGAACCCCTGTAGAGACCGAAGACCGAAACGTCGATTCCTGCTGGGGAGGCCTAGCGTTGCCGCCGCAAAGACCATGGCTAGTAGGCAGTGCCTCAGGTGAGCTGCTCAGGGATGCCCTAGGCCCTAAGCCCTAAATCCTAAACCCTAAAGCCCTAAGCCCTAAACCCTAAGCCCTAAACCCAAAGCCCTCTAAACCCCAAAGGCTCTAAAACCCTAAACTTAGATTTCAGGTGTCATACGATTTCAGGATTTCTGGTCGGGCCTGCAGGTTTTTGGAGGAGACTTCATGGTATCAGGGCTTTAGGGTTCAGGGGCTTTGGGCTTAGGGCTTAGGGTTCAGGGGCTTAGGGTTTATGGCTTAGGGTTAAGGGGCTTAGGGCTTAGGGGCTTTGGTTTTAGGGTTAGGGGCTTAGGGTTTAGGGTTTAGGGTTTAGGGTTTAGGGTTTAGGGGCTT